GTGTTTTCAGAGCAGCCTGGCACAAAGGGAGATGAAGAATGGCACTTCTTTTCCATAGCTCTATCTTTGAGGCAACCTCAGTTCCCACAGCTGTGCCAAGTCCTTGCAGATTGCTACACAAGAAATTCCATCCCTTCCACTATTGTAGCGAAGTCTTGGATAACCTGCGGTTCGAACACGCAGCGAAGGTAGGATTTCTTTGTTACTAGGCTGTTCGCTGAGGTGCACAGCACATTTGCTATATCCAGGAGGCCATTTAAATAAGACGGCATCAGATTAGACTTTGTAAAGTTTCCTTCAGCCAAATTTCCCCCTACTTTAAGTAGGCAAATAGCAAATGTTCAGGTGAAAAAGAAACTTCTGTTGCTGTGACTGAGTTTCTACTTCAGAGGTGAAAGGAGATCTACGCTTCCGACTTAAAATAGCAGAACTAGCTTCAAGGTGAACCTCCTGAAGCAGAAATCAACAGCAAAATCTGAAATTTATTGAACATCACATCTTTGTATTTAAAGAAAGGACAAGCTTCCCTATAACTAATACAATATAATTTGTTAATTCTTCCATTTTAAGTAGCCAAAAATCTCCCAGCAAATATGCAAAATAACTGGAAGAAGATGGTCATTTTTGCTGTAGTCTTTAGCACCATTTGGAGATGAAAAAATGCCTTCCTTTTTTCTTACCTTCAAGCCGAAGGAAGAATGAAAGATTAACTTTAGCAACTTAAGCAGCGATATAAATTTTGATTTAGGACAGATTACCTCATACTTGTCTGGAACGTGAACAAATAAAGATTAAAAATGCAAAGCATACGCAAGAACAGCCGTGATTTCTGACTTCAAGCCTGTTACTCTCCTTAGAGAAAGCTGGTTCCGTGAAAAAAGAGAAGACAAGACTGGCCAGGTGCTTTAGGTTCCCTCACAGTATAGTGTATTTTCAGCATATGACTCTATTAATGATCATAAATTAAAGTTTAAATAACTATGATTGGCCATATCTGTAATTTAGAAAATCATACAATATAGTTATCCTAGGTAAAAATATATTTGAAAGACAAATGTCTTAACTTTTGCAGTGACACCATTTATGAACATTTTTATGGTTAAAGGATTTTAGTGTTTGCAAGGCAGATCAAATTTATATTGACACAGTCACATTTCTTCATACCAGACTCCTGTTCATTGAGTCAGTCAGCAAAAAGTTCATGCTTACTTGGTATCAAAATTTTGCACTTCAGTAATTTACATCCCTGTAATGAATTCCACCTGAAATTACTTTTGAAATTTGACCAATAAACCCATTTTAATACTTTTTTGGTCTACAGCTCTCCTTCTCATAAATTCCTTAGATATTTCCTGCAAGTCCCCAAAATAAGATTCACTGGGAATACAATTACCAGACTTAAAATTGTAAATGCAAGCTTTAGTCTCTTTTTTGTTGTGTACTTTCTTGTTTTTAAATTTCAGTGCAGTTGTTCTTTTCTGTTATAATCCCTCTGTTTTATGATATTTCAGAGCAGTGCAAAGGAATTGGCACTCAAAAGCTGTTCAAAGTGGGCTGACGTTAGCAATTCTAGCTGAGACCCAAAGAGCTGGGTGGTGTGCAGTGGTCCCTCTCTCCAAATCCCCCTTCTCTCTGTTTCCATGCTTTTTGACACAATTTGTCTCCCCACTTCATAGAATCATAGAAGGGTTTGGGTTGGAAGGGACCTTTAAAAGCCATCTAGTCCAACCATCCTGCAATGAGCAGGGACATCTTCAACTAGATCACTTGTCCTTCCACCTGAACACCAGTTGCCCTCTCCCACAATTTCCATCCCACCATATCTTTTGAAGGACCATCAGTATGTAACTTTTTAAATTAAACTAAATAAAACTTTGATTTAATCAACAGAAACTAATGACCCGCCTCTTCCCCTTGAAGGAGAAGAGTTGCTCTGTTCAAAAAGGGCACAAACTGAAACACAGGAGGGTCCATCTGAACACCAGGAAGCACTTTTTTACTTTGAGGATGACCAATCACTGGCAGAGGTTGCCCAGAGAGGTTGCGGAGTCTCCATCCTTTGAGATATTCAAAAGCCATCTGGACATAGTCCTGGGCAACTGGCTCTAAGTGGCCCTGTTTGAGCAGGGGGTTTGGACCAGATGACCTCCAGAAGTTCCTTCCAACCTCAGCCGTTCTGTGGTTCTGTGAAAATGGCACCAGCTGTAGCTACCGTATTTAATAACAATTGGAAGAGGAGGCCATTTTTGAAACAATATAATTTCTCGTACAACTTTCTACTGAAGAATGTTTTGTGGATCAAGTAAGAAATATGTGTGTGCATGCACGCATATAAAGTGTGTAAAATATAACTGGAAAAATATTCATGAATCTTTAAAAAGCCTATACACATGATTTCAGGGAAACGGTGAATGAAACTTGAGGAGTATCTTCTACTCTTTTACTACAATCTTTTAGAGAGAGAACAATTCATTTTTACTCAAATTAGCCACTGTATTTATAAATTCCCCACAAAGTTGTTTCTGTGTTCACAGAGGGAGTTTTACTGTTTTCTTTGTAATAAAGACAAGAATGCAAGCACTTAAGTAAAGAACACAGCTTTAGCTCAGAGCTGAGACAGGTATGCCCAGCTACATTTAAGGTAGTTCTTCCACTTTGATCTATTTTTTATTTATACCATGCACTGAACTGCCATAGTTTTAAAAACATCCTCAGGAACATATCATACAGAGTAATTACTACAAATATTTAATTTAAATTAGGAAACCTCAGGATGAGGTGTTTTATTGGTCATGTACCCGACTGAAAAAATTTATGACGACTCTACAAAAAGTTTTGTTGTTACAGAACTACCTACACAAATTTTTATTCACATTGATAATTTCAGGATGTTTGGAGCCAAAATATATATATATATTATGTTTTTGCTATGTCCTTTTGTGGCTAATACTCTACAATGTACTTTTATGCATATACATATATATGAAAATTGCAAGCCAAACTTTCAGTGTTTGCATAACAACAATCTGGTAGCAGCAAGAGCTCAGTTATGTGCATACCAGGCAGAAGTCTAGACAGTGTTCACGTACTACTGATAGGAACATATATGTTAATATAATAATTCTAAAAAATGTATTTTAAGCTAATTTAAAACTCCTATCTTCCACTTTTAGGGATGACAGGGTTGTTTTGTCTTTCATATTTTGAGGTTTTTTTGCTTAACTCATAAACTTTCAGTAATTACTGGTAACTTCTAACTACATTTTAAAGATGTATTTCTATGCATGATTACAGAGTAATTTTGGCTTCTGAGGCTTGGAAATGTAGTCTTGCTACTTTGTTAACTCCCAAAGGGATTCCTTGGTAATTTTTCATAAATTCCTGTAAAGTTGGATAGGGATATCCATCAGATTATGTCAGAAAGGACATCAAAAGAGAGGGCATGGTAAATGTAGATACACAGTACCTTGAAATTACAGTGATTCAAGACTGGGAAGGAAGCTTTCCTGGAAGACAGGAAAGGAGGAAGGAAGATAACAAAAGGTGCTGTCACTTCACACAGTATGTGCAGGTGTATGCAAAACCTCACTACCACAACAAAAAAAAAATATCCTCATGATTCAGAGGCCAGCTTAGACATGGATGTCTGAAGACCCATCCATGATGTAGCATGGAAGCACATGGAGGAAATCACTCGGTGAAAATAAGTAAGGTTTTCCAGTTCGTGTGCTACATTATGTGACAAAAACTCAAGGAAGAAGTTGGGGAATGACGGCATCAAGGTCAGCTATTGCACAACAGTAAGAGAAAATGCTTTCAGAAGGGGGAAACGTTTTCCATGTCCTTCTAACTTTGGGAAGTTCATTTCAATTACATTGGCACTTTTGATGATAGATAGATAAATACATTGATAGAGAGAGATTACATGAGGTCTTGACTTCAATGACGCACAAGTCCTCTAGGTCTATTTAACAGAGAGCTAAATCCTTATTGCCATCAGCAGCAGATTTAATGATCACAGAAGAAATTAATCACATCACATACTGCCTCACTCTTCTCGGTGCACAAGCTGGACACCATATTAAGAGCCTATTTTCTTCCTTCTAGGTTTTTCTTCGTGAAAATAAATAAGTAGATATCGCCTGCTTCATCAGTGGTCGTAAGAACATCTACTCGTCAGCAAAGACTTTAAAAAAAACTATACAGTATTTATGTCCTTTGCATGCCACGAACTCTTATTCTTTATCAGGTATTAAAAACTTAATTTTTATCACTTGAAGAAGGTGCTTACAAAGTCTGTAAAGGTCAAACATTTTCTTTTACCCTAACAACCCAAGTCATGGAGAAGCAACACCTACCAGAGGTCCTGTAAGGTCACTCGGAGTGATCCTAACTTCTTTCTATTGAGATGCCCAGGAAAGACTAGCTATACCATAATTAATATAAAATAGGGAGATGTCAGCAAAACACTCCTGTGATGATAAAGCTATCAAAATATAGTCCTCATGAAAATCCTAGTCCTTAATGAAGAAAACAATCTCTCAGAAAAGCACCATGATCAATTCCTGCTTCCTCACCAATCTACCACAGTACTGTAAAGCCACTTCTCTTTTGCTGAAAGATGAAGCAGATGCACTACTGAGTTGAAAGCCCTGGATGTACCCACAGGGAGATAACTGACCTGAGTGAACTGTACTGTCGTATAAGCCTGCCAAAGCATGATGAGACAACCGCATTCATCCTCCAGTACAGGAGAAGCAGGAGTATGTTTACATCAATTGTATCTGTATCCATTAAAAATTACAAAAATCCACTTGGAGGAGTGGAGAAGAAGCCTGATTCAGCAGTGGCATGAAGTAAAACAACACATGCTTTAGAAGGTGTACATTGTAAAACACCCTGACGTATTCTACATCAATTATATCGCACATAATTGGAGTTCATTCAACTTTTTTGGGGTTTTCTTTTTTGTTCATGTTTTTTGTTTTGTGTTTTCTTACCTTCTACTGCTCTCTTGAAGAAAACTTTACAGCTGCCACATGTAACCACCCCATAATGACATCCAGATGCCTCATCTCCGCACACCAAACACACTTTGGAAGGTCTTGAAGATCCAGTTGATACACTTCTCAATGAAGAGCTAGAGTGAAAAACAAAACAAAACAAAACAGCTATGAATATTTCAAATCACACTCGCCTTAATGCAAAGTTCAATTAAGGATTTATAACAGGTATATTGCTCAAGGCGCCTAACAGCTAGGAAACCACAACTCTTTCTGGCAGTGCCTGGTTGAATACATGAATTGCTTTAATTAGTAAGTGCAATATTTCTATTGTCTGTTTTAAAACACCCATAATACATCAATGTTAATGTGAGAAGTTACCACAAGGGCAGTGGAATTTATTGGTAGCAGATGATTAAAACTGAAAATAAAACAACAAACAAACAAACCACTCTGGCAGCGACCTGATAGCTATAAATTTTCTTTCTGTCTGTTTGTTTCAAGCCTTTACAGCTAAGGAATACCTGTACTAAAGCCGCTAAGACCATTTTTATGAAGTAGCACAGCGAAGTGGTATGCACTCTCCTGTCCACATTCCTGCTTACCACTACAGTGGTCCTTGAGCTTATATCTAATATTTCTGTAATTTAACAGCTTACTTCCAAAGTAGTTTTGAAGCCTTTTTACATTCTGTGAATGCAGAAGACCCTTCCATATGACTTTAGGTGCCAGAAAAGCAGCACTGGAGGTTCAGAAACCATCCTGAAGTTTTGCAGACTGATGCATCTTGCAAACCATCTGCCGCCTTCTTAAAAGACGGGGCATTTCTGTTGATGGCTTTTTTTAAACCATGACCCTCCAAAGGTATCTTTAGGAGGTATTTTCCACTGGCAGCTCTAAAAGACAGCGTTCTTCAAAAACAAGATACATTTCATGATGCAGTGAGTCTCCTCCTTCCCTTCTTCCCCCAGGAACTGGAAATGCCACCCTAATGTAATCGGCACACTTGGAGAAAAGTGCCAGATACTGAAGGAGATGAAAGTTTTGGATCCCTCCCATGCCTCCGGAGGGCTGGGAAAGTTTTTCCTTCCACACAGCCTCTCTTCTCCAGGTAAACGTGACCTCTTGCATTTACTTCACACATTATCTCTCTGAATGCTGCCAAACAACTACAAAGACAACCCTAAAAGAGTTTACACTGGTGGTGAAATAATCTGATAGTTCAAATTGCAGGTCACAGGCTATTTATCGGTCAGTCATTGGGAAACGAAGTTCACGGGTAGTCTTAATTCAAACATAAGATAACCAGCTTGCTTAAGAAATTTCAAGTATGCACCCTTTGCCTTTTTCCAATTTTCTATCTTCCTTTAAAGAGGTATACAGAGGCCAAGTGATTTATCCAGGGGCACAGCACGAATGTCACTCCAGATCAAGGACTGCAACTCTCCTGACCTGCAGCTTTACTGTAACATCAAATCTAAACGTCTTTTTAAATGACAGCGTTCAGATGCTAATCAAAATGTTCCAAATAGCATTCCTGCTCTTGTCTGCTCGCTAGTCTGTTAGATTTACTAGTTTTAGTCCTCGTGCTATTTATACTTTCATTACATAACATCACACTACTTGATAATTGCTAGGTGATGGCATTAGCTCATCTGTTAGAGAGACAAAGGAAAGCCTCACCAAATCTATGTTAAATAAGTTCTGTGTGCTCAAGTCACAGTCATACCTATGCACCCTGCATTAACCTATCCCTAAGGAAAGGTACCCTCTTCAGGATTTACCAAGACTGTGGTGGTATTCAGCTCTGCATTTGGTTTTGTTTAGGCAACGAATGGGACTTTCTCCCTCTAGCACGTTTCACACTGCATGAAAAACATGAAGCCTTTCATTAAACAAAATTCTTCAAAAGATGCCTGCTTTCTAGAGAAAATGTCAATAACCTGGAAAACTAACTCCTTGAAAATGCTTTTTTTTTTTTCTTTTTCATTGCAAACGGTGATATTTTGTCTGAGAAGGGAAACATTTCAATTCTGACATACCACCAAAATGTCTTGGGGCATTTGTAATTTTGATAGTGCATGTTCCCATTTCTTCAGAAGACTAGCAAAAATTTTCCTAGTCTTTCTATCCTGAAAAAGGTCAGTGTGGTTTGTTTTTTTTTTTTTTAATATCTAAAAAACGTAATTATGTTAGAGAGCTCTTCCTGTGGAGAAATGGAGGTTTCCAGGGTGTCACAGCAGTGTGCGTGTTTTTTTAATTTATATACACACACACACTCTCTCCCTCTATATATACACACTGTATATATATATATAAAAAAGTATGTATTTTTTTAGTTGAAAATAAATTGTCACGTAGGATTTGCAGAAGGTGGGAGAGCCTTTTTTTAGATACAAGCTACCCTATTTCACTTTCACTTACACAGAATTATTGGGTGTAAAAAAAGCCAGTAAAGACACATTGAGACACCAGTTGATCCACAACTATTATTAAATGCCTACCTAAGACATAATCTATAGCATATTTTATACAGTGCTTCTCTAAATGAAGGGCTTGAATATAGCTGAAAGGTGAAGGTACAGCTTGAATACAAAGCATGTATTCAACTACTCAGTCACAGCATCACAGGTGGAAACTTAACATTCTGTAATAAAATTCAATTAATTCCCATACATCCTTTTAATCAGGTTAGAAGTGGAATAGGTTAAAACACAAATGAGGTATTTTCATTCTTAATAGGAGTATCCAACATGGAGCAATTCTCAAATACTCTACTGCAAAGAAACACTGATATTAGCTGTTGGTACTTAAATCTCCTCCAACTTGTGCCAGCTCTAGCTATGATTGCCTTCTAATGAACAATGTTTGGTTGGTTTTAAAGTCTCTTATGTTCTCTTTCACCCACGCTACACCAAAGTATTTGCCAATTCAAAATGCTGTTATATTACCTCATACGAACGTAAAGCGGTGTTTATACATACCTGCAAATAATAAAAGGCTGAGTCCAAAAAATATGCTCAAATCATATTGCTAAACCTCAGATTAAGTCATTCTCTCCATGGAAGCTTTTCTTTCTCAACAAGGCATGCACGGATGGTTACACCTTTTCCTCTTGAATCTCTCTTATGTTCAGGTTGTCATTCTTAGGAACTTGACCATGGTGAACAAGATCTGCATCAAGATCTGACTGGTGAGCAAACTACCTCTCCACCCTCATTTCAAGGCCAGATATCCAGTGCTTATGACTCAGAAACACACTTTCTTTATTCATCACTTTTATTAAACCAATTATTTAATTAATCAGTACAGCTCTATATCCTATAATACGTATAGGGAGAAACGCTACACTAAAAAAAAAAAAAAAACAAACCACCCACAAACCCACTTTGAAAGTGCTTTTCATGCATGCTCCAAGTTAAGTATTTCCCTTTTCATTAATTTTCCGCAGAAACATCCCATAGATTTCTATCAAGTAATCCTAATGTAAACTGGTATGTGGGAAACGTTACAGGCAGGTAAGACTTAAAAGGTAAAAACTAAGTGTTAAATTCAGTTGATTATAACAGATATATATATTAATTTTAGTTCTTTTTTTGGAGCTCAGTTTGATTTTTTGTTGCAGAGGAGAAGTTTAGTTACAATAATCCAGATTATTTAGGTAATACATCGTTCTCTCTTTTGAAAAATACAAGAGTTGGTCCAAATGAGAACAGATACCATAAAAAAAGATCAGGAACTTTACAACTGACTCCCTGTACAGCAATTAGCCTACTGCCAAATATCTATTTGAATGACATGCTAAGTGTAATGACATCTGTGGGCCACAGCAGGATTGAGTCTTAAACTTTAGACCAAGTGAAAACACTGTGTTTACACATTTGCCCAAATCCAAATTAGAGCCTAACAACTATTGCTCTGATATTCCAACAATGTTTTTAAGCTTTCACACAATGGACTATTGTTGACCCAGAAAATTTCTTGTGGGCAGCAACCTACTCTCAATATAAACTTCTAACTGAAGACACAAGCAATATGAAATAGTACCACAGAGCTGGTTACTCATCACTGCTTTCAGAAGCCAGTGGTTTCCATAGGTTGATTAGGTGTTATTACTCTCACACCTCTCTCATTATTTCCAATACAAAGGAAAAAAAAAAAACCAAACCACCCCACCCCCACCCCCCTTTCTGCAGGATTCAAATACAGGAGATCTAACAGCGCATACATATTTTATCACAATGCTTTTACAGCCAAGGGCAGCATGGAGCAGTTTAACAATGCCAAATGTATCTTCCAAATGATTTGTAAAATGGTTGCTTAGATGGCTCCGCTAACATTTGTCACGTTGTAGGGTATGTGATTAGGAATAAGCCTGATTTATTATCCTCAACAGTGCAAATGCTGGCAGTTAAATGCTGCCCTTGACTAGCCATTGCCATCAAGCTCATTTGTGTCTCTGCAAGTTGGCTTTAGTAATAGTTATATGGAGAATTAATTAGAAATAACAGATTTTGTAAAGAAGAGTCAATAAACCCACAGATAATCCAGCATTTTAAAAGCTGATTATATAGGTTATTATGCTTTTCAAACCAGATGTCATACAGGAGCACTGTTTAAACAAACGATGCCTCTCTGATGATAAAATGAAGCACTCTAAAGAAGCATAAGCCACAATATGAATCCCAAACTCATTTGTTCCAAGAGCTTTTATGAGATCTAGATGAGTCCTTTTTAATTCCACGTCATTGACTTTTCTTTTTCATACAGAAATCTTCTGGTAGTAAAACAAACAGAAGGAACCTGCGTGAACCTCAATAAATAACGTTATGCAAAAACAAAGGTAAAAAGAAGTTGAGATCAGCATCATATTTTCACCAAAAGAAAAAACAACCTTTAAGAGGAAGAATAGTCAGGAGATTCAAGATGCAGAGACTGCCAGCATCTTCCTTCTACCCTCTCATCTCATTTCTGAAGGGGTGTAACCTCCTTCAGAGCGAGAGTCATCTTCTACTGGGGACTGGCACATGAAAACACGATAGTTAACTTTGCACACAGACACTGAAACTAACCTTCCTGTGGCCCAAAACAAGAACTGTGTATTTCAACGGTATTTCACAACCATGATGTGGACAGT